AGGTTTCCTTGGGTCAAAGCAAAACTGTGGTTTGAGATGCGTTTACTAACATTTTATCCACAGATTTACCTCAGAAGTTTAAGACGCTTCGGTTGTTTGTATGTTTGATGATATTTTCAGATGCCTATAAATGATATTATACTCTCTCTGCGTGTTGATGAAGGTAGATAAATAAAAACATTCATTTATTTTAGTTTTTTTTGCTCGAAATGTTAACAATGCTGTGAAGAGAAGTCTGAGAATGGGCTATATATATTAGTGTTTTTCAGCCAATGATAAACCTCCGGTGACTGTTTTGAATTTAATAAGGTTCCTTTTACAGCACAGTTGTTGTGATAACAAAAATATATTCAGTTAAACAGATTTTAGCATTAATTTAGTTGTTCAAGCGTAAAGATGAAGGACCGTGTAACCGTTAGCGCGCTCAAGCAGCGCAGGCTAACGCGGAAACTCCATTGTAAATACCATATTATACACTCTGTCGTGTTGATGAAGGTAGATAAATAAAAACATTCATTTATTTTAGATTTTTGACTCGAAATGTAAACCATGCTGTGAAGAAAAGTCTGAATGGGCTATATATATATATATATATATATATATATATATGTGTGTTTTTCAGCCAATGATAAACCTCTGGTGAAAGCTTAATGTGACTGTTTTCAATTTCATAAGGTAACTTTTACAGCATTGTTGTTGTGATGTAATTAAATATATTCAGTTAAATATACTTCAGCATTAATTCATTTGTTAAAGCGTAAAGATGAAGGACCGTGTAACCGTTAGCGCGCTCAATCACAGCGGCAGGCCAACGCAGAAACTCCACTGAAAATACCATACAGTAAAATAAACTGTCATATTCAGCCCTCTACTGCACGGTGTCACTATATGTCGTCATGATACTTTTGTTAATTTACTTGCCACTATTTCTGAAATACCAACATTATTATTATTATTATTTTGTTGTTGAAAAGAAAAGACCTTAGAGTAGCCAATGATGTGCTTTGGTTAGGTCACATGACATGCTGTGTTTTTATGTAGCGCGATTTCTGACAGACTGGCGTTAGTTGCTAAATGTAAATAAAATCAGGATCAAATTATGTCAGATCCACAAAAAAATCTGAAACATCACCTCCAGTAAATTATGATGACATTTACAACATAAAAAAAAAAAATCAAATTAGTTTTTTGTAAATCGATCAAATGTATGTGCTGCCTAATAGCAACACTGCAGTAACGTTAGTGGAACATGCAATATTGCAATGGGTTAGTTAGCTGGTTAGCTAGCAAGGTCAGCTGTGAACTTTTAATTTGTTAATTTTTTAAAGCTCATTTGTGGTGAATGATGTCAGAATTTACCGGTATTTTGGAATGCATGTGTGAATGCTCTTTTCCGGAAAATTTCCGTAACGTCCTCGCCTGTGTGAACAGCGCTTTTTTGTATATACCGGTAAAGTCGTTCCGTAAATTTTCCGGATATTTACCGGTATCACTGTGTGAAAGGGGCTAATAACAACATGAATGCTAGTAATATAATGTTGATTACTTGTATGTTAATGGCATTTGCATTATGGATAAAATCTAGCTTTACTGGCAATACTACTTTTGAATAGATATGATAAATGCAGACTGGACATTTGATAGAGACCGTTCAGGTAAGTTAGCTCAGAGGCTAATAAGACTGGTGTAGTATTGTATATGGTGTAATATATAAACATTGTTAGCACATGTGCTGTCAAACTGATAAAGATCTTTTATTAATTTGTTGGATTTTTTTTTAATTGGATGTGTTTTCTTAAGTTGCAGTATGTTAAGCTCTCTCGGTCTTCGTAATAACCTACAGAACAAAATAGTACACACTAAAAAAACGTTGAGTTATTTTTTTAACCCAATGGTTGAGTTAAACATTTTTGGTGTTTTGTTGGGTTATTTTTTTATTTTATTTTACGTGTTTTTTATTTTATTATTTTATTTTTATTTTTTTATTTTACTATTTTATTTTACATACATATGATACATGTTACATATTGAGCCATGTACACCAAGAAAATTCAACTAAGAAAAACAACGTATGGCAAACATATGTGGAAATTAAGGTTGTGGTACCTTTGATTTTTGGGTTATTTTTAACCTTTATTAGGTTAATTATTAATAACTCAACCAGTTGGGTTAAATATTTGGTTCTTTGTTGGGTTATTTAAAGCCTTTATTTGGTTATTATAACTCAACCAGTTGGGTTAAAATTGAGTTGGGTCAACTGATTTAACTGACACAGAACAGCTGTTTTAATATGCGAGCGTAATGTTGTTTTTGTGTTATAACAGTTAAGCGCTAGCACAGTAATATTGTTTTAGTTTTATTAAATGACCTCTCCTTGTCGTGTTTTTACATCGGTTTCACCAGCACTCTTAATTATTGATGATACAAATGCGCACTTCATAGCTGATCTATATTAAAACACTTTCTCTACCTCACGTGTTCATCTCTACAGTTTGTTTGTTTTGAAGAAATCATACACATATTTGGGATATCTGACCGTCATTCTCACCTTTAGGACACAGCGGAGACATTTATTTATTTACACAGCCATAATTATAAAATTAATAGTAGTAAAACTAGAATAAAAAAAACAATGTTTAATCAAAATAACCCAGTGCATTGGGATAAAATAACCCATAGTTGGGAAGGTGCTATAATAATCTATATTGAGTTATATGTTGGGGTATTTTTAACCCAACTATTTTAACAGAGTAGGTAATAGTAACATTGTCAGCATGTTAATAAGACACATTCAAAAAATAGCATGCAAATTAAAACTCATCCACCTTTCTTTCTTTTTTTTTTTTTTTTTTTTTGTGACCCCTGAGGTGATTAATATTAAAGTAGGGTTACCACTTTTAATACAAAAAATAAATAAAGGACGCATACTGCAGCGGGGGGGTCATATCTCTTGGGGGGTCTAGACCACAGTGATCACAGGCCCAGTAGCATGCCAGTGGTGGTAAATCGCAACTTAATATGTGTTTTCAGGAAAGTGTGAACACTTGGACATTAAAATCAAATGTCTTATATTGAAATCTGTGTCAAGAGATGCGGTCAGTCTTTCTCTTTTACAACCCTGCAGCCCTGATACATCTGATGTTATGTTTAATACTGTGGTAAACCTGCGCTAACTCAGCTGCTGCAACCTAGAGGCGAGGAGAAAATA